TGGTGCTCAGCCTATCAAAGGAAACCCTTAATTTTAGCTTTGTCAGCTTGCCAGCAAGTTTCTACAAAAGATGGGATGCTCATAGTAATCCATTGTTATTTGCATGTTCTTCTCCACTGCTTCCAATAACCAGAGAAAGTTTAAAGGCCCCAACCTAAGAGAAGCCTGAATCACAGAACACACAGCCACCTTTGTTCTGATAATCACTGCAGACACATTCCAGCCCTTATCAACTAGTGAATATTAATAATTCATAGAGCGCCTAAGAAGATTACATCAGCTTTCTGACACATACCACACATACCATGTCCTGTTGTGCCAGCCATCTGTCACTATCTCAAAAGCTGAAGCAACAGAGAAGGATTTCAAGTCCCATCCCTCCACAGGTTTTTTCCCCCCAGTCTCAGTCTAAAGAGCTAAATACATGCTTTACTGTAGGTTGGAAATGTTCAAACCTTTTCCAGACAATTAATTGCCAAAGGCGGAAACCAACTTTCCAGATTGAAACAAGGTCACACCTGCCATTTACTTCCACTCAGCATCCCATAATTACAAATCCAAGAAACGTAGCAGTCAACAAAGACAGAGGCATTTCATGAAGAGATGCTCCAACATTCCAGACCATCTCTTGAACTGTATAAGAGCAATGGTGGTGGCCGAGAAGCTGCTGTACCCTGAGCATGGCTGGCCTGCTGCGATCCTTGTATAAAGTGATCACACAACAATATTGCCTCTGCATATCTTGAAAACACTTTCGATTCCCACATTTTGTGATCAGGCTCCCGAAGCGAAGGAAAATGCATGAATCTCCCCCTTTGCCTTTCTTCCACGTGGACACTTGAGGCCCATCTTGACAGAATATCAGATGTAGAAGCCCACACTGCATAGTACAGACAAGCAATACAAAGCGAGGAATGGGAAGGCCAGGAGAAGCTAAGCTGCCTTCCAAGAATTAACAGGACCCAGGAGATGTTAGAAGGAATGCCATTTTAAAAACAACAACAACACATATGATTAGAAGGACCACCCCTCCCGCGCTGATTGTAGGTAAGAGGAAAGAGAGCACTCACCTCCCTGTTTACTTCTGTCAAGATAGATTGAAACCCTTCGGGCCAGACCTGTGAGAAGACAGGGATTAAGGGGTTGATGCTAAGGGTAAGTTGGTCAGCCAAAGCAAAACAAATCTTAAAAAAGGATTAGGAAAAGCAACCCAAAAGGAACAGAAAAGAACACAGTTAGAGAGAAGCAGTAGCGGCAGAGAGGCCTCCATTCAGGGAAGGAAGGAAGGAAGGAAGACGAGTAGGTTGATCACAGCAGCCATCTTAGGAAGCCATTAGCCATGAGGAGGAAAGCAAGACCGGTCTTCTTTTGCTCATGTGCTCAAATCCCACTCAGAAGGGCCCTGCTATACTCTACCTAGAATGAAAGGCACCTCGCTGCCAGCGGAGGAGTGAGAAATGAAAGCTGCGCTCCAAATGACCCCTCACCAAAGAAAAACCCAACACCCTGTGAGGGGAGAGGTGAATCCAAACAGCCAAGCAATGTGCTGCTCAGGCCTCACTGAGCCACCAGCTCAGCTGTGAAGCAATACAGTAGGCAGCAACAAAGCACACTTCAATGATTTGCTAATGAGCACTCATTCAGAGAGGAAGGACAATTTACAGAGGACTCTGCTCAAACAACTGTTTAAGTGGGGGAAATTAGCAGTACAAGGGGATTCATTTGAAGTCATCAGGAAGAAGGCTGGATAATGAGAGGAGCTGCAGGGTGGCGGCAGCAGCTCAGTTGTTAAGGACAAGGCAGCTTAGGCACATGCCCAGCCTAGTTGCCCTTGGTTTGCCCAAGGAACTCTAGAAAGAGAACCTGCTTGACCTTTTCCAGGGCAGGACTTGCATAGGCCACTCTCAAACACCATGGGCTCACCTTTAAAACAAGCCCCAAAACTGGGAGGAAGTAAAGCAGGTGGTGATGGATGCCCTCAAAGAGGTCAGAGATGCACCAGTTGGAGGTGACAGCCCATTCTCTCCATTGTAAGGCATCACTTGTTCTGTACGGTGGTCTGAGAGCACCAGCCAGAGTACTTTATTTATTTACATTTATATGCCACATTTTTCCTCCTTGGCTTTTCTCCTTGGACTGCCTCTCTGACCTCAGGGAAAGATGTTCCTTATGCTGTTGTTTTTCTTTTCAGTGTGGTGTAGTGGTTAAGAGAGGTAGTCTCGTAATCTGGTGAATCAGGTTCGCTTCCCCGCTCCTCCATATGCAGCTGCTGGGTGACCTTGGGCTAGTCACACTTTTTTGAAATCTCTCAGCCTTACTCACCTCACAGAGTATTTGTTGTGGGGGAGGAAGGGAAAGGAGAATGTTAGTAGCTTTGAGACTCCTTTGGGTAGTGATAAAGTGGGATATCAAATCCAAAACACTCTTCTTCACTCTTCCTAATTCTAACTGGTAATACACAGGATGTGGTTATGCTGATGGGAACTGCTATGTCCTTCCCCTACCAGTCTACAGTCTGACCTAGGAGCCTGCATTATGCTTTCTGTTAAACCACTCATCTTAAACATCCTCTTTGTAAAAAAGAAAAGAAAAAAGTCACTCTGCCTATTCCATGTGAAACCTCGCATGCAATCTACATAAACCAAGACCTTTTGAAATAGTGTCTGAATCACAAAACTAACACCTGTGGGAGTAGCATCCTCTCAGGAATCACCTTGAGACTGTAACCTACTGAAGCACTAACTTGCACAAGGCTTGCCCTGCTTTTATATCTTTCACGTTTCCCCATGTCACCCTTCTCACTGGTTCAACTGCAAACAAAACCATCTAAAAGAGAACCACTCCACACACACACAAAGAAAACCCTGGAGAATAAAGGGGCTTGCTTAGTACCGGTCCATCTCTTGTTATGAGGAACAGACCAAGTCAGAATGACAGATCTGCTTGGCCAAAACAGCCAAGTGCTGAATTTATTCGGATGTTCATTTCAGCAACTTCCCCCCACCTCCTTCGGAGTGGTACAATATAAACTGTGCCTGCACTATTTCTGGTGGTGCCTGGTGCTTTCATTAAAATGGTCATTATATCAACACCAATTCAGCACCAACCTGGAGCTGACTCATAATAATGTGCATAGATTCTGTGGTTCCCTCCACCCCCTGCCTGATTCTCTAGTGCTCACACAGCTGTTCTAATCTTCACATGATCCAAAATATTACGACTTTGCATAATGTGAAATTTGCTCCTGTCTTTCTTAGACCTAATCCTTTTAACTTTTAGATGGACAATGAATGTATCTGGTAGATTTGAGCCAGGAAAGGGCATAACCAATGCTAAGAAAAAAACCTGTTTGCTGTTGCAGTACGTAGTCAGTACAGAGCTGAAGCCTTTGGGTTTCCTATATTTAGGCACATGAATGTTTTGCTGGAGAATTACACACACTTTTATAAGATTCCTTTCCTTCCATCCCTCTTAATCCACTCCAGCCTGTTCTTCACAAATGAGAAAGCTTGCACAAAGAGGTCAGGTCCACCCACTCCTTTAAGTGTGTCCTCTGCTCCTGCTGTTCATTCAATCCCCTGGTGAGGTCAGTGACCCATTTTTCATCAAGATGATTACATCACCAACTGAGGATTAGAAGATGGAGGAGAAAGATGGAGGAAAAACAACCAACAGCAAAGGATGCTAAAATTCAGGTATCGTTCCACTAGCATGTAAAAAGAGGAAGGAAGAGGAAGCACCATACAGAAAATCGAGGCCACAAGCACAATGGTCTCAGAGAGACAGGAGTCAGATTACAGCCCTGTGCCAAACTGCACCAGCAGTCTCCACAGCAAAGGCCAGGACTTCTAACAACAATCTCATTTCTACAGAGGACTCATTTAATTCACCCTGCGCCTTTGCACAGAGTGAATTTAACTAACCCCCTCATTCCCACAGCAATATGCATAGGTAGTAACAAAATCAAGGACCGAAAGAGAAATTTAATAGTTCTGTAAAGGAAGCACAACCACTCTCCCTTAGTGCTGTTTCTTATTCACCGAAACAGTGAGGAAATTACCGGGAGAAAATCCAAGCCATAGTGGAAATCAGAAACAACAGTCACAAGGGACCTGGGCAACTCTTCTCTACAGAAATCATTTGCTCATGCTATAGAAAAGTGTGAAAAGGGGATGATCAGGAACAGCTGTTCTTTACTATCAAAAAACAAACCATTGCCCATTTCCCAGGCTAGGCTGTATCTGTAAATCAATGCTTCATGGGTATATTTTTTATGTCAACATGTTGGTTTGCTCTGCTCTCATTACTCTTACACGTTTTATTTTTTTATGATGCCTGAACGTTGTTTAAAAGGAGTTGTTATGTGGGCAGGTTTTTCTTGTCTTCTCATCTTCTGAACTGTAGCCACAGACAACAGCAGTGGCAGACACTTCAAAGGAAGAGCCAAGGATACAATTGGATTTGACTGCACACACCAGCCTCTGCTGGAGTCCAAGGGTTAAGGCAACATTTGCTTGTACACATTTTATTGAACTGAATCAATGAAATGCCACTTCTCTTCAGCCTCAAACTTTTTTTTTTTGTAGTGACTCAAAACAATAAAAATGAATTATTTTAAGATAAGAGATGATAGCTAAACAGTATATTTTTAGCCAAAAACAGTCACTCTCATTCAGAATTTATAACAAAGGGCTTATAGGGTGTTAACATCAGAAGTGAGGATATCAGAGTACAGCAACACATATCAAGTTGTGTCCATGTGATAGCAGGTTCTCGCCTTATCTTAAACCTTTTAAAGCAGGATTAGGGAACCTGTGACCCTGCAAACGTTGCCACACTACAACTCCCACCATCCCTGAACCATTGGTCACGCTGGCAGGGGCTGATGGGAGTTGAAGTTCAACATTAACTGGAAGGCCACAAGTTCTTCACCTACTTCAAAGGAATTACACGGGTTAGAAAACTACATTTCCAGTTTAACATATTGATTGTTGAGAGAAGCAATGTATTGGCTATCAGACTACGAGTGTCTCAGACGAATATTTTCAAAATTTAGTTATGGACTTTGCTTGTCTATTTTTGTGAAGCAAAATGTAACACAGGATTTCTCCCACTTTCTTTGGACTTCAAAGCCAGCTCTCAAATATTATTGCCAGCGTTGGACGCAGTATCATTAATATCAGCCTCCAGCGAACTGGTGCCCTCTACATGTTTTGCACTACAGTTCCAATCACCCCTAAGCCTTGGCCACACAGATTGGGGATGATGGGGTTGGCTGCTTTTTATGTATTCCATTTAAATTAGCCTTTTTGCTTAGTGCATTTGTACTTGAAGTATTTGCTAATGTAACTGTGTGTGTGTGACACAAACCTTACAAGTACAGTGGTACCTCGCAAGACGAATGCCTTGCAAGACAAAAAACTCGCTAGACGAAAGGATTTTTTGTTTTTTGAGCTGCTTCGCAAGACAATTTTCCCTATGGGCTTGCTTCGCAAGACGGAAACGTCTTGCAGGTTTGTTTCCTTTTTCTTAAAACCGTTAATACAGTTGCGACTTGACTTCGAGGAGCAACACATAGAACGCGGTGTGGTAGCCTTTTTTGAGATTTTTAAAGACTTTGGTGATTTTTGAAGCTTTTCCAAAACTTTCCCGATACCGTGCTTCGCAAGACGAAAAAAATCGCAAGACGACAAAACTCGCGGAACGAATTAATTTCGTCTTGCGAGGCACCACTGTATGCTAAAGTTAAGATAATTTCTTTCTAGATTTTCTGATTGCAAATTCTGGATAAATTCATTGGTTTTGGTGGGGATAAGCAATAAAAATAACAGAAAAATGGGAGAAGAGCATGTAGTGGCGCATAAGGAAGTCTAACAAAGTTCTAATTTCTCCTACAATGATTAATTCAGTGCTTGTTTTGAAACACACACACACACACACACACACACCCCTCTGCCTACTGGGTAATCCAACACTGGCTATGCTGATTCTCAAATACAGTGATACCTCGGGTTACATTCACTTCAGGTTACAGACTCCGCTAACCCAGAAATGGTACCTCGGGTTAAGAACTTTGCTTCAGGATGAGAACAGAAATCGTGCTCCGGCGGCATGGCAGCAGCAGGAGGCCCCATTAGCTAAAGTGGTGCTTCAGGTTAAGAACAGTTTTAGGTTAAGAACGGACCTCTGGAATGAATTAAGTACTTAACCCGAGGTACCACTGTATGTGCTTTCAAGATGCTTTAGGGTGAGATGTATGTTTAATGAACATCACATAAGCTTTAAAGCTTGGTAAAGGGACTGTGAAGACAAGACCTGGAGAGATCAACAAGATTTGACTTTGGTACTCTACTCTCCACCCAAAGCAGCAGAGGGAGTACAAGAACTGCAAGATAAGCATCTCTTAGCTGCTTTTATTGACAATATTCCTGTAAATGGCAGGATTTCACTCACAGCAATGTTTATAGCAGACCTCTAACTGCCCATACTTTATGATCGGTTCTGTGCACATGTAATGGTGCGCTACAGAAGCTCGGGTTTGCAGCAGCTGCACCTCAAATTTCAGGCTACCTGGCCGAAAAGGAAGAGGAACAGAATCACCATAATATTCTTTTCATGGAAAGAACCAGAGGAAGGTCTGTCAAAGTTTTAAGATCTGAGTGAGGCATCGTCTGTGAATTCCAATGAATAGCTAGAAGGTACATTATACAGGAAAAGCAGGGCAATGTGAGGGAGGAAGAGGACATTAAAGGAAAACATGTAGGCAGCACTACTGAAATGTAAAACCCTTAATGTTCAAAGGGCAGAGATTTTTATTTTGACGTGTCAAACCACTATCACTTACTGGCTATGCCAGCACAAATATTTTAAATGGAATGCAAAGTGCTGGTTTAGCAACAGGAAGTTTTCAAATAAGCGGTTGTCAGGCTTCAGTGCTGAGATGCACAGGTTCAGAAATGAGAACTGTCAGAGCATTAATGACTCCTCGTGTCTTGGAAGCAGAGCAAGTATCCTTCATTATCACATCCGGCATAGTGGGTTTTTTTGGTCACCTAACCCTGCACCTCAGTCTCTCAGCCGGGCTTGTTAAGTGATGGGTTTCTTGTTGACACCTAACCCTGCCTGGATTCTCAACATGTTCGGGACACTCAAATCTACCTGCACTACCATCTTGTAAATGTGACGTTTCACTTGACCTTCCATCCTCCCTCCACAATGAACAGCAGGAAATACTGCAAGCGGTGTGCCCAAGTCAAGGCAGGCTGAGCAAGCATGCAGAGCTGGGGCAAAAGGGAACAAGCAAACCAAAAAAAGGATAGTGGCAAGAGGTGAGTTTTTGGGGTAAAACCCCAAAGTGAGAGGAGAAAACCAGCTGCAATAATGAGTCCAAGGAAGGGCAGTACTTAGAAAAGCCTCACACAGCAATTCTCTATCTAGAAGCAAAAAAGTTAGATCTGACCTCCAGTGATGAAACTCCAGCGCAGTCCAGGAAGGGAACTCACCTGTACTCCTCTGTTCAGCACTATGAAAAAGATTGCATCTATTCCCCATCTGGCATCTCTGCTTAATCTTACATTTATTATTTGCTTTTAAAGTATCGCGGGGCAGAAATTTCTCATTGGCTCCATCAAGACCAAAACATTGATAACAAGGTATTACTGTAGACAGTGGAGACCACTCCATGTTACCTAACCCTGTTCCAAATGATGGCAAACTACTTTTGCCCCTTCAAATCCAGATAGAATGCTAGGCCATACCTACCGCGTGTTGTTGGTAGCATGTCTGACAAGCCCTGCCAGGCCGTTACCATCTCTGGATTCTTCTCCAGGTCAGCAAAGTTTTTCCACACCCTTATAGCACCATCATCTTGAAGGAATGACAGAAAGAAAATTATAAGGCAATTCAGCTCAGAAGGGTAAGCTGGGCTTACCCAGTACCGTAAATTAATCACCATTACTGATTTGGCTCCAGCAGAAAATTCATGCTGCTTCAGACAGATTCCACTAAACCATGGTTCTCCAAACAGGAAGCAGGCATCCTTATGGAGAGATCAATTGTTACTATGGAAAGCTTGATCTGACACTTTCTAATCATATTGTTGAGTCTGTTTGCCTCTTAAGTAAGGGAGTAATATGCCAAGCTCCACTATCCTCTGCCACATTCAGAGGATCTATATTGACAGCAATATAGATTATGTATTTCCAGACGGCCTTACTGGTAATTAAGTCAGCCATTTTGGAAGGAATTTTGCTTCCTGCGGTCCTAGTATTATCCCAATTTTGATTTTGAATTGGACGATCACTGGGTGCAAATAGCATCTTACTGTGTACTCTATGCTGTCCATGAATGTAACAGTTCTGCAGCATCCACACAAAATAGCTCTCATCAAAATGCCACCCCACATTTCCCCACATTTAATCTGGATTTACCTGTTCTGTGGAAATTCTGATAGGTTAAAAAAAGGAGGGGGAAAACAATCAATCTGGATTAAATGGGGGAAAATAATATGGGGTTGCATTTTGATGAGGATGAGACTGTATGTGCCCTGCAGGAGTAACACAGAGTTTCCAATAAACTGCCATGTGGAAACACCCACTGAGGGTTATATTACAAGAAGAGATGGGGACTGGATCTCCCATTGGTGTAACAGTAGCCACTAAAGGCAGGGGGAAAGGATCTGATCTAGGTTGCGTTGCAGCATTAAGGTAGGTAGGTTAAAGTTTTATCCATGCAACACTTTCCTAAGAAAAATTCTCCCGGGAGGACTTCCGGTTCCGGACGCGAGCAGTGAGGAAGCACAGAAAGCCAGCTCTTGGCTTTCTGGGCGCTGTGAGATCGTGGGGGAAGACGCAAGGGCGCAGCGTACCCCGAAACCTCAGGGGGGGAACCCTTGGGGGAGAGGCCACCTGCAGCGTGGACGCGGTCGACCTACCCCTCTGGGAAAAGAGAACAGAGAGGAACGAGAGAACGGCGACCGCTAGCGCAAATTGGGAAGTGCCGCCTCACAGCGAAACGCCCAGAGCTTCAGCTGCAAACAGCGTCGGAGCTCCTCAAGATAAGAACGGGGTCTCCAGCATGGGAAATTTTCTTTTTTGAAGTGCTTATTATATAAGCGCGCAGTTGGTGTGAAGCTAGGAGACGCCCAGGTTTCTTTTTTCTTTGTTTGCTTATCTATGGGATTCGCCTCGGCAGCGGAGACAAGATGGCGCAGAAGGGGAGTCGCAGGAGCGAGGAGGTTAGTGAATAGTCTGACTGAGTGAGCAAGGGCCGAGTTGATAGTGAATTTGGACTGCAACGTTTCTTTTTAATGATTTCAAGGACTAAATTGTATTAAATAGTATAACGTCAATTCCGGGGGCAGACGGACGCTTTTTCAAGCTCTCCGGTGAGGTCTCGTCTTGACCACGACGACCCCCCCAATATTATCTACGCTCCTTAAGGATATTTATTCAAGGATAGACTGGTGAGGACACGCCAAGGGAGGCGCGGTAGGGGTCTGATTCTCGGTTTGTAGCCTGAGATACGTTAAAGACGCCCAAAGCAGCGACGGTAACAACAGGGCAGGTCGCTGTTGCAAACAGTCGGCCATTGGTGGCAGAAGTCGGACGCTGAATAATCAACGGTACAGAAGTTTTCCTTTGTTTGTTTATTTGTTTGTTCTTTTCTCATGACTGTGCCTGACTTGTGTGGGGCTGAAGAGGAGGGTTTGAAACTCTGAGTGGGAGCCTAGACTGTAACCGGAGGATACCATTGGGATTGCAACCAATTGGTGAGAAGGGACCAAAGTGCGTAAAGTGCTCAAAGTGTTCAAAGTGTCTGAAGTTCCTGAAGTGCTGGAAGTGCTGGAAGTGCCAGAAGTGCTAGAAGTGTTGAAAGCCCCTGAAGTTCCTGAAGTACCGGGTGTGAATTAATCAGGACTAAAATTGACTGTATAGGAAAAGAAGCCGTGTAGGACGACCACGTCTCCAATTAGACTCTAATAGACTTTGATAGACTCTCCACCTCTCTCCCTCCTTCTATTCCTCCCCACCCTCCCTTCACTCTTCTTCGGAGTGCTGGGCGCTGGACGTGACGCAGGTGAAACTAGGTAAAAAGACCAGAGGGGAGGACTGAGAGGAGTAGAAGGGGAAAACAAACTAAAGCCAGGAGTGGACTAATTGATGTTTATGGAACAAGAATTTCCCCCAGGCTCTTAAAGGGTATACAGTGGGCTTGTTTGTCCTCCCGGGGTATACACGTATTTTGTATGGACATTGGACGGGGCAAGGTCAGTTATAATATTTACCACCCCAGCAGGCGCTCTCTGAGGGGAAAGGAGGGAAAGGTCAAGATTATAGGACTACAGGACGAAAAAGGATTATAGGAAAGAACTAACGGAGAACATAGGGAGTGCGTCACAAATAATGATGGGGAAGGAAGGGAGGGACGCAAAGAAAGTTGGTGGGACCCCGGGGGAGAGAAAGACATCGCGCCAAGAGGAGATCAAAGATTTAGATAGCTTATGGATCAAAATAAAGGAAGAATTTAAACAAAACGAAACATATATAGAAAATAAGCTAGGGGATATGCAAGACCTGATTGATAAAAAAATAGAAGAGGCAGTAGGAGAGCTCTCATCAAAAATCCAAGACCTGTCAGTAAAATCTAAGATAATTGAGGAGACCAATAAGAAATTACAGAAAGAAATGAGGGAACAGAAAAAAGAAACAGGGAGGATGAGGGAAGAGTTGGGGGAGCTAAATAAAGCACAGGACAGGATTTGGGACAACCTTGCTATGGCGGACATGCGTCAAAAGCAGCTCCACTTAAAATTTAGAGGTGTGGCAGAAGAAAGAAATGAAGATGTCAGAAAGAAAATGATTAAGGAGCTATCTAAATGGTTGGGTCTGCAAGAAGAAGAGATAGCACTAACAATAGACAACGTATTTAGAATGTCTAGACCACAACATTTAAAACCTAATAAATTTTTGGGAGACTGTCTGGTGATATTCAACTCCTTAGAAATGAGAAATCTAATTCTAAGGACGAGCTATCGTAATAAACTCAGAATTGAAGGTAGGCCCATCATTATTTACAAAGAAATCCCAATCAGATTATTACGAAAAAGAGAGGGCTATAGACAAGTGGTCGCGGCTTTAAGGAGGAATGGAATACAATTTAGGTGGGAATTCCCCGAGGGGATCACCTTCTTCTACAAAGATAAGAAATTTAAACTGACGGACATACAGGAAACAGAGAAGTTCCTGAGAAGATATGAAAGAGAGCTGGGAAGGACAGAGTATAGACTGCGAGATAGGGAAGAAATGAAGGGGAACGGTCGGGAGAGGGAAGAGGAGGGGGAGGAGAGCGCGAAAGATCAAGGAGAGAGGGGGTCAATTTCAGGAGATGAAGAGGAGGAAGCCGCAGTGGGAGAAGGGGCGGCTGAGGAGGAGGGGCTCTCAGGAAACAAAGGCGCTAGATTTTAATTAGAGTTCAGACCTGAGATAGAGTAGTCGGAGAACTAAGACAACACTGGACACTTTAAAATTTTTATCGTGGAACGTGAATGGGTTGAATGAGAAAACTAAAAGAAATAAAATCCAAAAAGCTTTGAGAAATAAGAAATGTGACGTAATCTGTTTTCAGGAAACTCATATTGCAAAGAGGCATAGACATATTTTGGTGAACAAAAAGTTGGGAGTAGAATTTGTTAATTCGGACGTAAACAAAAAAAGAGGAGTGGTAATATACGCCAAAGAAAGGTGGGAACCAATACAAATTTGTAAAGATGAGGAAGGGAGAATATTAGGCATTCAATTAAATTTTCGAGGGGAAAGAATCAATGTAGTGTCGATATATGCACCGAACTCAAATAGAGCAGAGTTCTTTGAAAAACTTGAAAGTTTGCTGTTGGAATTGGATCCTTATAAGTTAATTCTATTGGGAGACTGGAACGGGGTACCAACACCAAGCATGGACAGAAGTGAGAACCAGAGGAACGTAAACAGGGGGAAGCTCCCCAATGCTTTCAATGAGTTAGTGGAAAATTTAGATCTAATTGATATTTGGAGGCACCGAAATCCCACTACTAAACAGTTCACCCACTATTCAGAGCCCCACAAAAGCTGGGGCAGGATCGATCAGATATGGGTGACTAGGGCGATGGTATGGAGAGTTAAGAGATGTGAGATACTACCCAGGACCCTATCAGATCACTGCCCTTTGGTTTTGGAAATTAAAAATGAATTGAAAGGGCAACCCAGGTGGAGGATGAATGAATATCTATTTGAGAACGAGGAAGTGCTAGATATGGCCAAAAAAACTCTGAGAGAATACCTGGCGATAAATCGGAGTAGAGATACCCCAATAGAGTTGGTATGGGATGCCGGTAAGGCAGTCCTAAGGGGTTTTTTGATACAGCAAAATAGTTATAGAAAGAAGTTAAGGGAGAAAAAGAAGGACAATATTTTGGCCCAATTAAAAGATTGTGAAAGGAAACTGGCCTTAAATCCAACAGATGAAATGATCAGCCAAGCGGTGAAGGTGTTGCAGTCCCAATACTCAGTTATTTTGAACCAGGAGATAGAACAGAAAATTAAATTTACAAGACAGAAATATTTCGAGTCGGCTAATAAAATGGGGAAGCTGCTTGCATGGCAGCTCAGGAAAAGAAAGAAACAAAATACGATTAATAAACTTATTGTAGATGAGAGGGTGATAGAAGAACCAAGTGAAATTGAACGCAGATTTGTTGCTTTTTTTGAAAAGTTGTATGAAAAAGGAGAAGAGAGTAGTGTAGAAATAAGAAACTACCTGGATCAAGAAGAAAGAAAATTTTTTACAGAAGAGGACTGTATACAACTAAACAAAGTGGTGTCTGTAAAGGA